TATAAATAATATATATATATATTATTTTATTCATATTTTGTTTAATTTTATCAATATATAATATCTTTTAAAAATATAAATCTATTAATTTTTAGTTTTTTATTTTTCTTATTTCATATTCGATAGCTATATAATTACGGCAAATTAAGAAAATAATAATAATAATAAATCAAAGAAATAATAATAATTATATTTCAAAATCGGATCTATATACTATTTCGAGCAAGAGAATAATATTATATTTCTTTCCAAAAATCTAATTCATTCAGACCGAATTTCCTAATTCTTCTTCAAAATCAATATATCCTTTCTAAAAATTCGCCTTAATATTTTTATGTTCGGAGAAAATATCGAATCTCCCCAATAATTCTCCTAAAACCTAATCTATTTAGAATCAACTAAGAGAAATCATTAAATTCTCTAATCTCTCTCCGAAAATCTAATCTATTCTCTTAAGATTCAGAGAAACCGCCAAACACCGAATCTATTCCAATTATATTGAAAGATAATTTAATTAAAATTATCAGAAATCATTATTCCTGACTTCTCCCAAAAAAAAATCTATTCTATTTAGACGAAGAGATATTAAATTCCCTAATTTTTCTTCAAAAACCTAATTTATCTTCATTAGACTAAGAGAAAACCGAATTCACCAACTCCTCTCCAAAACCTAATCTGTTTTTATTCGGCTAAGAGAATTCACCGAATTCCTCTCCAGAAATCTAATGTACTTAGACTAAGAGCATTCACCCAATTCCCTAGATGCTCTCTAAAAACCTAATCTATTTTCTTTGGACTAAAAGAAAATACCGAATTCCCTAGCTTCTCTCAAATGCCTCGACTAATTTAACTGAAATTAAAAAGAATGCCCGAATTATCTAATTTCTTTCTAAAAGTCCAATCTATTTAATTAGACTAGGAGAAATCACCGAATTCCCAAATTTCTCATTAAAATTAAAAACCTAATCAATTCCAATTCGACTAAGAGAAACCACCCAATTAGAATACAACCTATCTCAATCAAGAACACCGGCGAATCAATAATGAGTTCTACCGCTCATTTTCAACACAATGGCCGCGCACTGAACATATCAATTTCAACACCGAAGCTAATATTCCTTTCAGACTACCCCCATATTACATCATTGCATATGTTTTTCTTATATTACTACCTTTCTTTCGGTATTGCTCTGAAGTCTTTAATTTTATAACTCCAGATTCTACTAAGAATTCTTAACAACTTTATACGAAAGCTTCAATTTCCATGATTCTGTTCTAAAAAGTAGTTTCTAATAATTTCGTACGTTTTTCTATTTTTCGATATTTATATATTCGAATTCCCGACCTTCGAGAATATTTCAAATTTTATTTCACAAGGAATTAAAAATATTCAGATTTTCCATTTCAGATATGAACCATTACTAAATATTTGAAAAATATGAATTTATAGGATTGTTCTTCGGGCCGTGATTATCATACTAGACATCGATTTCCGCCAAGAAACGTTTCCGAACAGGGCAGAGTTCTGCTTGTTACAAACAGCACTCTGCCAGGTTCAGGTTGCATTCGCAACCGTTGGACCAAAAATGGAAACGAGAAATTGTTGTCCCGTCCATAACCGTCCCGTATGTGTCAAAGGCTACGGGCCCATGTCACGCACAGGTTCAATTAGAATTGGAAGATGTGAGGCCGTGGGCAAGACAGTGTAGAACAGCTGATGTCGATACAAATCTTCATCAACACAAAACCCCAAACATCTAAACCCACCAAATTGTGGTCAAGTTCTGCTGCTTGCAAGGCTCGGCCCGAGCGGGTGCTGTACCACAGTCCTGCCCAGGTGCCCGATTCTCAACCGGCTTGGGATGTCGCACTGCCCCGCGGAGTTAAACCCGAAAGCGGTCAGGGAGCCTCGGTTGTCAGTTCAACTTGTTTGCTACAAACCTTGACGATCTGCCTTCCGCAAGGATCTGGGCTAACTTTCCAAGACCATTTTCGATTCCGTACATCACACGTCGAACACAATTACCACCAGCAGACGAGGCACCATCCGGCCGCACGGCACAAGTGTGATAAGCTCCTGCCTTGACTGCCACTACTTTGCCAAGATCTGCGGGGATTCGGCACTGTCCGAAGCAGTCATCCCCAAAGCAGATGAGCTCGTGGTTTTCCTCAGCTCGTTCGGGTTGGGCAAGCGTTCCTCCTGGCTTAGAGGGAGAATCGATGTTTGGAACTGGACCTGACCTGACTTCTCCAAGGCACCGCACTTCCCTGTCCGTTTTTGCTTAGTCTGGGCTAAGCATCCGTTACTGCACAAGTATGGCGAAGTCCTGCAGATACCATCAGCACAGGTCTGAGGTTATCAGGAATGCTGCACTGACCATAGGTGTTGTCGCCAAAGCACTTCAAGAGCATACCTGTTGGAGTCGGCAAGCACACTTCTCTGACCTAATGTAGGTGCAGGGCAAGGGCTCCGACTATGGCATCTCAATTCAGTGCGAAATATCTAGCCATGCTGCTGCCTTGCTCGAGGACGCATGTGTGCTTTCCTCCGGCTCGACTGCTGCGACGGTACCTGCCTGTGTAAATTGTGCTTCTGGAGAAACACACTGTCCGAAACGGTTGCTCCCGAAGCATACGAGTTGCCCGTCCACTGTCACAGCGCACGTGTGAAAGGTCCCCGCACTTACAGCACGAACCGCGGGAATGTTCGGGGGTACTCTGCACTGTCCAACGTGATCCTCGCCAAAGCAAACGAGCCCGCCCGCGGAAGTGATGGCACAGGTGTGCTGGCCTCCCGCTGCCACCATGGTAACATGCCGCAAATCCTCAGGAACCGAACACTGTTGGCAGCCGTTGCTCCCGAAGCATCGAACAATCCTTGGACCGATGCAAATTGGAAAGATTAGAAATCAGCATGCACGTGTCTCTCAACTTCGCTAGTAACTTAGTAGAAGCCTTCAACATTTGTAATTTCTCGAAAACTTGAAAAGAACAAGATTGATACACGAGTGCTAAGCTGATACATACAAGCGCACCCTTACAATTTGATAAAGCCCCATAGTCCAAAGCTTTCCACCTGGCAGAACAGAAGTCCAAGATGTGGTAAACCGATAAACACAAAGCCGGGAGGCCCGTCCTCTTGCAAGACGCAGACATGAAAGGCTCCGGAGGCAACAGCCCTGATGTGGCCAGAAAGCCCCTTCGTGTCCAATGCTTCCCCAAAAACTGCCAGACCTCGCCCTCCAGTGAAGACCTCTTTCATGCTGCGGAATGCTTCGTGTCATGTCATCAACATCGGCTGGGCACCACGTGTAACCAAGTGCGCCTAGCTTCTGAAAAACCATCCTCCCCCAAATATTAAAGTGCAGCTCCGCATCGCTGTTTTGACTACCACTGTTTTCATTCAGCAGAGTGGCGCACGTGCGGTATCTCCCAGGTGCAATCCTGTCTGCAAGCTCATGTGCAGTGAGGTCACCAGTCGGGTCTGGTGGCATGGACAAAGGCTCTGGCTCGGAACTCCTGGCTCCTGAACACCCGGCTCGAGCAACTATGAACAGCAACAGCCGTGATATGGATCTGCAACCATTGACATCAATGGCTGAAACGTCAATATCTTGCGGGCCCCGTGTGTTCTCGTTTCAGACAGCCATCCCGCACCTTGCAATCACAGTGCATAATTGAAGCCCCCAACACTTGCAGCTTCCGCCAAGCTGTCGGGTAAAGCACACACTCTGGGTTGTGACAATTGAATCTACTTGCAGACTCTTTTCCGCTTGCGATGCGTTTCCAACGTTCGCACTATGAAACTATCCAACGCCAAAGCCTTTCAGCTTCCAAAAACACGCAATGTTGCCTTGAGGCTCCGGGAAGGATGTCCAAATTTTGTCTTTTGTCACAACTGTTCACCATACTTGGGATCTGGGGGGAAATTCGGACACCGCGGTGCTTGCTGCTCTTTGCTACTCTTTTTGCCTCAGTGCTTGACTCGACTTTTTGAGGGCCTCGTCTCAACGTGGGATTGCAGCAGGGTCATTGCTGCCGAGTCAGAGCGAGACTCCTGCTGGTCAGGTAAATTAGACGAAAATCTATAGAAGCTGCGTGCCGGATCATGTGCTTCGTGCACGCCCCCAGGCTCAGCAACACCTTGGTGCAGGCAAACTGGCGAACAGGAGAACAAGTGTCTGAATCTCCAACAATGATTCAGCAAGGCTTATGTGCCTGCCTATACTGTTGCTACCAAAAACCTGCCTATACTGTTGCTACCAAAAACGAATACTGTTGCAAAACAGTTGTGTAGCATGCAGTCTCATTGGAGCCGTTCGACATGGACGAAGATCCGTTCTGGCATTCTGGTTTTACTCATGCTTCTACTTGTGTTGCGAAACTGCTTGTTAGTCTTTTGGGGGGTTCTCAAACCTACCAGTACATCATGGTGCCCATTCCAGCCCGCACGTGGCTTGATGAGACATATGATGAAACTTGGACTGAGAGCTTAATGGATTTGGGGCCGGTTCCTAAAGCCCAACGAGTGGCAATGTAGCTTCCATCTCAACGACGACCAAGGGGAGAAATCGATCGCAAGGCAGTGACAAACCTCTCGCTGCTGGTAGATCTAGATAGTGCAAGATCGCACCAATCAGCAAATCTCTTTTTGCGTGAGCCATGCAACGGGTAAGTCTGCTGTAGTAGAATACAACTATTTACGATCCAAAGAACCCCCCTTGCCTCTCAGGGCAGCGAGGAGGGGCGGAAGTAGAAGCACCAGCGACTACATACACGTTGCGAATGAAAGCAAACGAAAGACTAGTGTTTTGCGCTTCAAACGTAACAGAGCTCTTAGTCACGACAGCAATGATCACACAAGGCGGTGTCGCCCATCAGGTCAGCCCTTTACGCGGGCCGTCTTTTCCGGAAGGCCAAACGTGGAAAGGGAGCAGATAAACTACTTTTACTTACTGCTATGCACAAACCGCGGCATTCAGTAGAGCCAGACTTCCAGACGGCGAAGTAGTAGCTGACGTGCTCGCAGGTCAATAGCAAATAGTCATTGTTGGGGTGATCATGGCGTGGAATAGCTCGATCCTCCATCCTGTGCGGGACGTTGCGGTCCCGGCTAGCCTTGAGGCGTGCCCAAAAAAGAGCATCATGCCTCGACAAGTAAGGAAGCCTCGGCTGGGATAGGTTGATCGGGGACGTATTGCCACGCCCACGTCTGTTGTGGAAGTGGTCCCCCGGGTTTGCGAGGTTGCTGCTGGCCCATTGCAGCATCAGGCACGTCCTTTCCGGGCGGCGGGTAGGAGAAGACTCCCTTTGCCAGGATAGTGCGGAAAGCTCCTTCTTTAGCCCGGGAGGAGCGGGGTTGCAGGGCCATAGAATTCATGGGCTCACCCTTCCGGGCAGCGAGACGTTTGGCTTTGTCAGCCTCCAGAGCCATGCTGATATCGGAATGTGGAAGTCTCACATCACAGCGGAAACAGCCAGAGGGCACCATCCAGATTGGAGCTGCTGCCGTTCGGGCACGCGAAAGATGGGACGCTGATGTTCTCCTGCCTTTTCCAGTCAAGCTCCGAATTGCACTGAGCATAGGGCTTCTTGGGAGCCACATGGATCGTGAGGTTGGAAGAGAAAGTCTTTCCATGCCTTCCTTCCGGGGTGTTCACCGTCAGGCCCCCCGGACTCCATGCTGTAGTGGTCCACGGCGTAAACGCCCTGACTGTTCCTGGCAGCCGCGCGCCAGCGGTCAAAGTTGAGGGCACACAAGCACCGGTGCACCTCCATGTAAACACGACTGGCCTTGGCAATCCTTTTTCAAAGTGCGGTGACCTTCCGGACCAAAGATGGGGAGGCCCCTTGGCTTATCCTTGCAGGCCTCAGCCAGGCGCTTCCGCACCGGTTCAAAGCCTCTGTTGGCCCACACAGTCTCCTGCGTTTGCGGAACGTAAGCATAGATGATGGTGCGGTTGCTGCCAATCGAGAGTCTGGATAGCGCCGGCTATGGTGATGAAGAAGCGGCAACCCTCGTATGCAGCGACTTGTACGTCAATCACGAACTCAACTTGGGCCCCGGGTCTTACACCCTGATTGGCAGCGCCATCATCACGTATGGGCGGCCCGAATTGCCCTTCTTGGTCATACTCCCTCCCGGGATGAGCCCCACAGCAAGAAGCGTGATAAGCCATCTTTGGCATAAGATCGAAGGCAGTTGCCCGGTATGGAGCAAATCCACAAACGGGGGTGATGACATAGCTGGGGTTCCAGTTGTCGTCGAGAGCCGGATTGTTCGACCGTGGTGTTCGGAGGATCCTTGTCCAACACTCTAAGCGAGGCGGCATGGCCTTGGAACGCGCAAATCCGTGGAATCGCCAATTTGTGCCTTTGTCGGACGATGTTTCCTCGTCCATGGCTTCCGCCAAGCGACCGTTGTCGCAATGCCGGGGCGTCATGACATCAAGAATGGTGATGACAGTGAGGTTGGACCGCTGTTTTCCGATCACCTTCAACAGCCCACCAACATCTGCCGACAACTCATCGTCGAGCTCAGCGGCCCTCACGCCACGATTTTTGGCAACGCCCTTTAGGTGGAACGACATTTTTTTGCTAAGCGAAGCCACCGCGTATTCCGTGAGCCGCTTTGGAGAGGCCAGGCAACTGCTCTACTGTCATCCAAAGCGGATCAGGTCCACCACTTCCGTGAAGAATGACTTCGTCCGTGCCAAAGCCGACGGCCATCGGTCCCGAGTCCCAGACTTCTTCCGTCCCGATGTCAGTCGTGGCAACAGTAGACAAAGCATCACCCTCAATCGAATCACGGTGATGGCCTTGACCTCCGGCTCCACGTAGATCAGAAATACCAGTGCTCACAGGTACGGGGTGTTCCGCCATTCCGGCTTGAACTGCAAGATTTTTGGAGCAACCTGGCTATGGCTCGAGTAGGCTACGGCTGATATCCTTATGCAAGAACGCACCAATCAGCAAATCGCTTTTTGCCTGAGCCGTGCAACGGGTAAATCTGCTGTACTAGAATACAACTACGTCAAAACAGTAGACATACCCCCATTGAGCATTGACTCTGGCTGAGGGGTGCAGCCCTCAGCAATCCTGTGTTCCCATGGCCTCTACAAGTAACTTGCAACCCCATGAAACAGGTGGTCATGCAAAGCCAAAACCCTATGCCCTCACAAAAACCCTCTCCATGAACGTCTCAACCCGCAAGGCGCAATGGCGCAATCATCAGTCTGTGCCTCATGGTAAGTTTAAGTTTTCGGGGCGATGTCGAACATGGGATCCAGAATCACGGGGGGGAGGCGGTCAAGGCTACGAGCCTGTCTGCACACAAGGCTTCCTCGTTAAGTCCACTTTTCACTGCCTTTTTGCGAGTAAACCGGGAAGGCTGTCATGCACTTCCGCCGTTGACCCACCTGCTGTCGGCTCTTATTCTCTGACAGCATCCTGGCGACAATGTTTAGTCTAACCCATATAACAACTTTCTTGGCCCTGTGCCATCTTGCGGACGCAATATACTTACCCTTGTAGCTCCTTTGTGATAACAGCCGCCTGCCGCTCCCATTTCTGACTAGCCACCCCTTGGCATTGGGGACCAGGCAGGTGACTTACGCTGCCCGGCCCTCGAACTCGTTCATGCCGAGGAACCTGAGCATGCTGGAGTCGGGCAGGCGTATTGGGGACAGCAGGCTTTAAGCTTCAGGGCTTCGGGCGGAGCGGGCTGAGAAGGTTTGCCATAGACAGTACTTGCAGCCAGGCTGGATTCAAGAAATCACTGGTTTGAATGCATAGCTTATATGCATCACGACTATCGCCACCAGCACCGGCAGTTCGAATACTTCTGAGAGCAAAAGAGTTGTGAAGCCTGAACTGTCTAATAATACCTGCCCAGGGGCTCATCCATGGCAGACTTGATGCTCCCTTCAATCTCTGGAGTGATCTGCTTCTTCTCCATAATTTCCTCTCAGGTTCGGTAGGGGAACATACATATTTTTTTAAAAAAAAGTTGTGCTTCGGCAACCATGCGAAATGAACCACATTCAGCAGGCATACCTGTATGGATGCCTACGCAAAGGCGCGTTCTGTGAACATGGTCACCCCCTGTGCACACATGCATGTATTCTCCGTCTCTCATTCTGACACCGTTGCTATCTTTTCCTGCAGCTAGAAACCTTACTAGCTGTGCTTCTTGTATTCTTCAATCAACTGCCTGTTGTTCATGCATGTTGCATTCCATGTTCTTCGCTCCTGAATGCTACTGCGGCGCATGATAAACCTCCGACACAGGCCGCGCCCTTCAGCCCGTCCGCTCTGACAAAAAAAGTGCCCCGAAGATGTCTGGGCCCTGCAGTACACCCTAGACAACCCCGGAAACCCAGCCTTAAGCACGTCGCCCTTGGTGTCTTTGAAATGCTTCAGCCACAAGCTCTCGAATCGGAGGATCTCCTTGGTTGCCACCTTGCGCTTCAATTCAGGTTGCAAGGTGCAGTTGTGGTGCAGGTTCTTGTTGTTATAGTTGCTCTCTACACCTTTTTGAAAAATTGGAGCTAAAGAGGACTATGGCCACTGTTCTTGATTCTTGAGGGTCCAATCTGGGGTTTGAGCAATTTCTGAGCTTGCACAGCATGCGGGATCAATCCTGCAACTGCTTTCAGCACCGTGGTGCATGCCTTCTTCCATGCTCCGTTTAGTTTCACCTGGCCTTGTCCAAATATCCACGCGTGCCCGCCCACAAAGACACGATGATCTCTGCTGTGGTCATCGGCACAAACCTCGGCGGACATGTTTGATTGCTTCCGGGGAGGTCTTGAACATGAGCATGTCATGCAAGTCGGCAAGAAAGACTCCTGGTGCGCTGAAAGCCCCTGGTGCGGTGAAAGCCGCTTCCCTAGCCTAACCCTCTACCCAGCAAAGCTTCAAGATATTCCGTGATACTTTTCGTGTAACAGTCACCGAAAATCACACCTAAAACGAAACAACTGCGACTCTGATTCACAATAGCTACATGCCATGGCAGAGAGTCGTGCCCAACCCCAAAAACTACATCTGAAACAACCACTCTCAACGCCGAAACCGATAATACCAAGTGGCTGCTTCTGCTTCAGAAGCTCCGTCAGAATGCCGCCTAGCAGGTGAGATGTTGTCTTAATCGGTTCACGTGTTCTTAACATCTTCATATGTTGGAGGCCTTCTGGTCGCTGGGTCCTTATTTTGGATAGTTCAGGATTTCGTGCATGGAATTTGCTCCAAATTTCGGACCAGGACTTGGAACCCAACCAGATGGAATATATCCTAAACCTCGGTCCGATAGCTGAAAGCCCCAGGTGTCCCTGACGTCGCGCCACGGCTAAGAAGGCTGTGTTTTCCCCCGACATTGGAAACGGGCCCTTGGACGAGATGTTTGCCTCAGGTTTTGGGTTCAATCCCTTCCACCTAATATTAAACGGGAGCCCCCCCAATGAAAACTCGGAAAGTGTGGTTATGATTATTCGGGTGTACTTTTATCTCTACTACCACGTTTGAGGGGTCGTGCTCTTGCTCCTGCTCTGGCTCTTGCTCCCGCGCCGGCTTTCGCTCCTGCTTCTGCTTCGTCTCTTGCGCCTGCTCCCGCCGCGTTTGCTGTTGCTCCTGCTTTTGCTCCTGCTCTTGCTCCTGCTTTGCTCTTGCTGATGCTCCCCGCTTTTGCTCTTGCTCTTGCTCCTGCTCTACCTCCTGCTCTTGCTTTTGCTTTTGCTCTTAGTGTGGTCTAAGGGTATTTGGAGTCTTTGGAGCCTCGAAACCTTCCCCCCTAATTCAGAATAGGTTTAAAAGGGCAGGGATGATTTCGGGAGGATTCGCCCCAATGTGTGTTGCTATTATTAGGGGCATGTTTAATCGAAGGGGGATCAGATTTTAGGGCTTCGAGCGGCTTAGGGCTCAGAATTCAAAGTAGTTTTTGTTTGCCTGTGGCCTTGTTGAGGATTGCACTGCACACGACCCAGCCATGCGGCGCCCTCAGAAAAGTATGAGCCTTTATGAACCATCCAGAACCGCTTAACATCGGTTGCCCATCTCAGCCACTGCCTCGCAGCAGCTGGTGCTGTGTAGCTGCATCCAGATCGGAGCCGAACTGCGCAAAGGCGGCGACCTGCAGCAAACAACCGTTTCGGTGTCCTGAGACCACCGAAAGCGCTGTGAAACCAGCAACCTCCTACATCCAAGCCTCAGCGATTGCTTGTAAATTCTAGCGATGCTGGTAGATAGTCAAGACATGTCAAGAACTCCAAGTATGAGACGTCTTCTCTCCGCCCCATAAGTTAAGATTGTTGGCCTCGCGGTACTGTGCCAACTCCAGCTTCAAGGTGCCGGCCACCTGCTTCTGGGGAGTTTCTGCGGCTGTGTGGGAGCACCACTGGCAGAACTGCGCTTTTAGATGTGGTTCCAGGGAATGCCGCGATCATACCCACTTTTATCCCACTTTGTCTGGTGAAGAAACATCCTCTATGAACTCTCTATGGGACCTGCCACAGAGCCCTGACCAGAACACATCCTTTCCCGTGACAAACTCTGCCTGCTTCATTGCTTTGATCTGTGCGGCGCTGCCCACACCTTCATCACACATCCCAGTCGCAGCTGTGAAGTCGCTTGGGTTGCATGTTGTACCACGACAAGCTGTGACACACCGACGACCCTCACGAACATCATGCACACAGCCGCACACGTACAGCTCATACCTTTACGAAGGTTGCACAATGAAACAGCATGGGTTTAGCCCACTACACCGAACTCTCCAGGCCAAGGATCCCGCAGTGGGGCCAGGGAGCACATAGTGATCTTCAACAAAAAAGAATGCATACGAGTGTACCTAACTGCATACATATATATATATACAAATATATAGTGATCTTCAACAAAAAAGAATGCATACGAGTGTACCTAACTGCATACATATATATATATATACAAAAAATATATATATACACATATACGAACACATATGTATGTATTTATCTCGTCGCCCCCCGACAGAACATGCCCTTTCATGCCCGTCCCCCTTCGGCAATCACCTCTCCCAAACTCAATTCCAAAATTTCCGAGACTCCTCCTCTTAACTTTCCAGAATTTCCCAAATTTCGAAAATTCCAAATTGTTTACCAAGATTCTCCCCCCCGCCCCCCAGTGTTAAGGACCGACTCTGCCAGATAGGGCATAGATTTTTGGACATTTGGACTTTTTGGAAAATTTGGAATGTTTGGAATTTCTGGAAATGTTGGAGTTTTTGGAATTTCTGATAATTTTTGATTTTGGAATTTTTAGAATATTCAAAATGTTTGGCAATTGTTGAAAATCTCTACACGTTCATGCAATGCTCCTAATCCTAATCTTACTCGTAGTCTTAATCTTAGTCTTGACTCTGTCTTGCTCTTACTTCTAATCTTTATTACCACTACTATTGCTTGTAGTAGTCTTGATTCTCGTATTAGTGTTAATGTGGTACAATTGACATTAGTGCTAATATTAGTTGAGTATTAGTATTAGTATTAGTATTTGGTATAAGCATTGATACCAATATTAATAAGTATAAAATGAAGTTAGTGTTCATAACCGTGTTCGTGCTAGGGTTGGTGCCATTGTCAATGTCAGTGTCAGTATTAGTACTAATATTAGGAAACGTATCAGTCTTAAAGCTGGCAAAAAAGCAGTTTCAATGTTCGCAAAACCTATATAATATAAGTACGAATAGTAGAATTAGTTTCGATATGTTAGTATACTAACCGTTTCGCATTTTAACAGATTTATATCAATACATTGATGTATTCGTATAATGGTATATATGTATACTTGTTCTTAGTATATTAAGCTGTATATTAATATTTTAGTACGATCGTGCACGAGTACAATAGTGTTTTGGTACATTCGTATGTTAGTATGTATTAGTATATGGGTACATTAAAACATTAGTATACTAGCACATTTGCATACGACTATATTAGTATGTTAACCTATTAAGGTTAATACTAGTATTAGCATCATGCATATTCGTATTAGCCTTAATATACGTGATAATATTAGTATTAATACTAGTATTATCTTGAGGTATTCAACAAGTTATCGGTGTCAGTATTAGTATTGGTGATAGAATTGTTATTAACAACCATAAGAGTATGCATAATAGTGTTCGTAGGAGTATTAATACTTTTACTAATAATTTACTAATATTGATATTAGAAGACAAAAGGGCATTAGTATTAATAGTAAGATTAGCAATAATACTACCATTCATATGATTTGTATTCGCAGAAATATATGTATTAGTTTGACTCTTGAGTTTCCTATTTCAGTTAGTCTTAGCATTAATTTCAATATGAATATTTGTTCAACAAAAGTACCACTGTTACTGTGAGTATTCGTGTTCGTAGGAGTATTGGTATTCAATTTGTTTTCAGTAATGGTAATATTGTTAGTATGAATTGTCAGACTTGTGCTAATATTAATGTGAATGTTATTTGTTTTAGGGATATTAATCTTGGTATTAGTAGGAGCATTAATCTTACTATTGCTATCAATACCAGGCTTAATATCAATGTTGATCTTAATCTTCGATCAATGTATTTAGCTACCCGGATCCGTCAGCCGGATCAGCCGCGCAGTTGCTGCAATTACGAACATGTTTAATCAGCATTTCTCGTCAGAGAAGGTCAGTCAATACATCGAAGCTCTCTACTGCGATCTGTTTTGGCTTCGTTATTCGTCGTCATCGCCGCTACGCTCACTTTGCGCGCGTCTGGTGCATGCATCCTGAGTACATGGTGTTCTTGATTGTTCATAGATACACGAGTTTCTAACTATTCACACAGGATCAGTTTAAGATTAGTGCAGGTTGCTGTGCTTTTCTTCAGGGGTTAAATTTCACAGGAGCCGATCTTGGCCGAGTCACCTGCCAGGA